GGGTTGCCCTTGAAGACTGTTCGGAAACTTCAACTGGTCCAGCGAACGGCAGCCAGATTGCTCACCAGAGCGACATTCAGGGAGCACACCACCCCCCTGCTGTGTCAGCTCCACTGGCTGCCGGTTCAGTTCCGAGCACAATTCAAGATGCTGGTTTTGACCTACAAAACCCTTTACAGTTCCGGTCCAGAGTATCTGTCCGAACATAGCTCCCTCTACATCCCACCCCGGAATTTGAGATCATCTGGGGAGGCCCTGCTCTCGACCCCACCGCTATCACAAGTGAGGCTGGTGGGGACGAGGAGCAGGGCTTTCTCAGTGGTGGCCCCTCGCCTGTGGAACTCACTCCCGGGGGAAATTAGGGCGTCAACATCCCTCCTCTCCTTCAGGAGGAAGGTAAAGACGTGGTTGTGGGACCAGGCCTTTTGGCAATCTGACAACTAGATATGGACAACCAGATGGATAGGACTGAAAGGACTGACAAATGTGGATTGGAATTTGAACTATGAGATTGCGAAACGCTGACCGTCAATGAGAAGAATGGTTTGTATTGGTTTTATTTCTTTTTACTGGTTTTATGGTTGTTTTTGCCTTACGATAATTATTGTTTCTGTTAATTGATGTTATTGCTAGAATTGCTGTTTTCTGTTAACTGATGTTATTTGTCTTATTGCTGTTATGTGATGCGGGCATCGAATTGTGCCTTGCTTTTGTAAGCCGCCCTGAGTCCCCTCCAGGGTGAGAAGGGCGGGGTAGAAGCAACCCTAATATTAATAATAATAATGACTGGGGTCTGGCTGGAACCTATAAAGGTCTGCCAAGGCTGAAGACACCAGCCTAAAATTGAAACCTGGGAAATGGCATGATGGAGACACAAAGGAGGTGAAGAATTTGATTAACTTTAGCATGAAAAGTGCTGAATGGATGAGAACAGACCTGAGAACTTTTGGTGTAAATAACACATGTTTACATAGTCAGGGACAATTACTCTTTAAGTCAAGGAAGTTAAACAACGCCTGTTCCGGAACTGATGAAGCTCCAGCAAGCCTGAGCTGAATGACAGGCAATCTAAACCATCAAGCACAACAAGAACAACCAAGCATCACAACATAAGGAGACCCTTTTCAGTTTCCAAAGTGTACCAGACTTGCAGAAATGCAGCATTCTGAACACCCGTCTCCTTCCTCCCTAGAAGCCAGATGGATTGGATGAAGGATGGTGAGTATGAATGTTCAATGCATGTGATGGTGAGTATGAGTGAGTGAATGGATGGATTATGAGTGAATGTTAGAGAATATGTAATGTTTCCCTTTTTGTGTAACCAAGATAGTTATTAAGACCCAGTACTGGAGTCTGTGTGTTGATTACTTTCTCTGAAAGTGCCTGATGTACTCTGTCCCACTGGAAACTAGTTAAAGATTGGGTTGCTGTGAGTTTTTCGGGTTGTATGGCCATGTTCCAGCAGCATTCTCTCCTGACATTTCACCTGCACCTGTGACATGCACCCTCAGAGGTTTGTTCAGAGGTCTGTTGGAAATGAGGCAAGTGGGGTGTATATATCTCTGCAGGCATGTAGCCGGGGGGGGGGGGGCTTGGGGGGCTTCAGCCCCCCCCAAATTCTCATGGTGGTCCGCGAGAAGGCCTTACTGGTACATTATTTAAACTGTTATGTTTATTCATATCATGATCTGATCACCATGCTAAATATATCCCATATGCATGGGGGTATTGGGGTAACGATACAAAAGGTTTGCTAGGGTAGACCCTCTTTCACTCAGACTCAGCCCCCCCCCCCAACCAAACCCCCCCCCCTCCGAAACAAAATCCTGGCTACGGGCCTGTCTCTGTGGAATGATGTCCAGGGTGGGAGAAAGACAAGGGTCTATGTAAAGCAATGTAAATGTTGTAACTTGCAAGAATGATTAGCACTGAGTAGCCATGATATTTGCAAAGTTAATTAGTAGAGTTATTTGGAGGCACCTTCTGTTTGGGAGGTGTTAACTGGCCCTTGATTGTTTGTTGTCTGGAGTTCCCGTTTTCAGAGTCTTGCTCTTTATTTACTGTCCAGATTTTAGAGTTTTTTTTTTTAATACTGGGAGCCAGATTTTGTTCATTTCCATGGTTTCCTCCTTTCTGCTGAAATTGCCCACATGCTTCTTGTAGATTTCAGTGGCTTCCCTGTGTAGCCTAACATGGTGGTTGTCAGAGTAGTCCAGCATTTCTATGTTCTCAAATAATATTTTGTGTCCAGGTTGGTTCATCAGGTGCTCATGCTAAGGCTGACTTCTTGATTGAGTCAGTCTCCAGTGCCTTTCATGTTCTTTGATTCGTGTCTGGGCAATGCTGCTGCAATTGGTGGTCCCTATGTAGACTTGTCCACAGCTGAATGGTATGCTGGTAGACTCTTGTTTCAAACACAAGAGTTCTTTCCCCCACCCTGGATAGCACACAGATTTAGTTATTTATTTATCGAGTCAGAAGAGAATTGAAAATACAGTTATAATGTACAGAAAAACCACAAACAAAGTTTAAAACTTGGAATGCTAGATGTCCTTTGACCAGAAGCTGGCCACTTGGGAGTGCCTCTGGTGTGGCTGTGAGAAGGTCCTCCTTTGTGCATGTGGCAGGTCTCAGGCCGCATGGTAGTAGTTGGTCTGTGGTTTGCTCTACTCCACACTCGCATGTCGTGGATTCCACTTTGTGGCCCCATTTCTTAAGGTTGGCTCTGCGCCTTGTGGTGCCAGAGCGCAAGTTGTTCAGTGCCTTCCAAGTCTCCCCGTCTTCTGTGTGTCCAGGAGGGGGTGTCTCATCCAGTCCCAGCCATGGATTGAGGTTCCAGGTTTTTGCCTGCAACTTCTGGACTTTTGCTTGCTGAGGTGTTCCTGCAAGTATCTCTGTGGATCTCAGAAAACTATTTCTTGTTTTAAGGCGTTGGCATGCTCGCTGATATCCAAACAGTAGATGGGCCGGAGATGTCACTGCCTTGGTCCTTTCATTGCTGGCTGCTACTTCTCAGCGTGACAGGTGGTGCAATACCAGTTAAACAGTATAATTTCTCCAGCGGTGTAAGGCATAGGCATCCTGTGATAATGTAGCATGTCTCATTAAGAGCTATATCCATTGTTTTAGCGTGGTGAGATGTGTTCCACTCTAGGCATGCATATTCAGCAGCAGAGTAGCCAAGCACAATGGCAGATGTCTTCACTGTATCTGGTTGCGACCCCCAGATTGTGCCAGTCAGCTTTCATATGATATTATTTCTAGCACCTACTTTTTCCTTGATAGTCAGGCAGTGCTTCTTGTAAGTCAGAGCATGGTCCGGAGTGACTCCCGGGCATTTGGGTGTGTTGCAATTCTCCAGTGGGATTCCTTCACAGGGAATCCTCAGAGCTCGAAATGCTTGTCTGTTCTTAAGGTGAAAACAGAAGAACGGCCTGCCTCATGGGAGCATACTTGCTCCTTCAATGCCTAACATTTCCACAAATGACCAGCCACTGCCAGAAGGAGCAGAGAGTTTCATCTATGCTGACGATCATGCCATTACCGATCAAGTAGGGAGCCTTGAAATGGTTGTACAGAGCTCTCCAAAGCTTTAGGTGCTCTTACTACTTGTTACAGAGAAAACCAGCTGATTCCTAATTAATCTAAAATGCATATGTGTGCTTTCCATCTTAAGAACAGACAAGTCCAAGTGGAGTGTGTATGTGTATACATACATAACACACACTCCACTAGCCTCACTTCCAAGAGACCTCTAAACAAACCTCTGAGGATGCTTACCACAGATGCAAGTGAAATGTCACAAAAATGCTCCTGGAACATAGCCATACATTCCAAAACACTCACAGCAACCCAGTGATTCTAGCCATGAAAGCCTTCGACAATACATTAAAGGCGGCGGTTAAGATTCCGAAAGTGTTTGTGACTCACGATCTGCCGCTCGCCCTTAGCCCCGCTGCTGTAGGTGGTGGTGAGGGTGGAGGCACAGGCCTCGCTGTACCAGGGCACCCGCCCACCTTCGCTGGTGCTGCCCACCGACAAGGTGTAGAGGCTGTTGGTGTAGCCGTCACAGTTACAGTCATCACGGCGCAGGCCCCCATTCCCCGAGGCCCATACAAAGAGCGAACCCAAGCCGCCACGGCCCTAGGAGCAAAAGGAGGGAGAAACCTTTTGTTGACCTCTAGGCTTGAGACACCTTTTCACCCAGTACCACACCAGAGTCCAGTAGTACTATCTACAAATGTTTATTAAGAAAAGCATGTACAAAGGAGAAAAAGGAGAATCCCCAAAAGTGCAGTAGAGTAGGAAATACACAATAGCAGCAATCCAAAAGTGTCAAAGTACACAAAGTCAATAGAGCCAAAATCTCAAGCATAAATCCATAAACATGAAAGCAGAAACTTTTTCAAAGGCAAACCCTTCAAGGAACATAGGCAAAAGTAGGAAACTTGAATCATGAACTTGAGAGCTATGATGGGAAAGCAATTTTTTTTAAAAAAAAAATGTTTATTAGAATTTTGCTTACAAATATTTTAAAAGCAGAAAGAAGATCAAATGGGGGAGGGTGATTGGGCAGGGTTAGGTATAAAGGTGTGCAGGGATGGGTTAGGGATGTATTGGGGAGTGGGGGGGGGAGACAGAAAGTCGAAGATAAAGGAGAAGGGGGAGGAAGGAGGAAAGAAAAGAAAAAGAAAAAAGAAGGACAAAAAAGAGAAAAACACATAGCAGGTAAAAATCAGGTTTGAAGTAGGTTCTATTCGTTGACTTCCACCTTTATCTTCCCTGGGTAGTTTTAGTTTCCACGCTGGTGCCGTACTTTTGTTTGATGTTGGTCACTTCTTTTTTGGATTTTTCAAATCTCTAATTTCTTGTTTTCAGTTCTATATCTCATACTCACTTGGGAGTATCAAGTCTTCGTGGGCTTCGGTGTAATTCCTTATAATTTTTATAAAGGGTCCAGTCTGTTGGGTTTATAGGTTTGCCCTCCGGGTCTTTTAGGTAGTATGTCAATAGGTCCATATCCATGATTTCGGATACTTTAGCTTCCCATTCTTCTTTGGTTGGCAGTTCCTTTAGTTTCCACTTCTTAGCATATATTATCCTTGTGGCTGTTGTCAGGTAGGTGAATAGTTTGTCCTTATTTTTTTCAAGTGCAATGTCTTCATCCGTAATGCCGAGAAGGAAGTATTCTGGTTTTAATTGTATTGTTGTTTGTAGTATCTTCTGAGAGGCTTCCTGTATTGTTTTCCAGTATTTTCTAGCTCTGGGGTATGTCCACCACATGTGGTAGAATGTTCCCACATGTGTTTGGCACTTCCAGCATTTATTTTGGATATTTTTATACATTAGGCCCAGCTTCTGTGGAGTCATGTGCCATCGAAAGAACATTTTGTACCAGTTCTCCTTCAGATCAGTTGAATATGTGTATTTTTGTTTCAAATTCCATAGTTGTTCCCATTCTCTTAAGTTTATCGGTCTTCCAATATTTCTGGCCCATTTGATCATGCATTCCTTTATTAGTTCGGTCTTGGTGGACCATTCTAGTAGTTTTGAATAGATCTTAGTTATAATTTTCTTTCCGTTCTTTATCAGGGGTTCCCAGAAATCGTCCTTATCCGTGAATCCTATCTTTGAGTCTTTACTGAAATGTTCCTTGATTTGCAAGTATTGGAACCAGGATATGTTTTTGTGTTGTGATGTTATCTCCACTTGTGATTTTAGTTGTATTTTCCCTTCCTTCTTCATTAACAAGTTGCTGTATGTTGGCCATTCCGACCAACCTAGTAGTGTCCTTTGGCTCGCTTCTAGGGGTGAGATCCAAGTTGGCGTTTTTGTATAGAAGGAGTTCTTGTATTTTTCCCATATCCTTATCAATGCAGTTCTTACAAAATGATTTTTGAAGTTCTTCTCTATTTTTATCTCTTCATACCAGAGATAGCCGTGCCATCTGACTCTTAGATCAAACCCTTCCAGGACTAATATTTTCTCTCTTTTAAGTGTAATCCAGTCTTTTAACCTAGACAACCCGAATGCTTTGAAATATAGTTTAAGATCCGGTAAACCGATACCACTCTTTTTTTTTGCTATCTATCAGGTTTTTAAATTTTATTCTCGGTTTTTTCCCCTCCCATACAAATTGTAAGATGTCTTTGTTCCATTTTTCAAATGTTTTGTTGTTTCTGATTATTGGTGTGGTTTGGAACAAATATAAAAACCTTGGTAATATATTCATTTTGATTATTACAACTCTACCCAATAGTGGGAGTTTTAGATTTTTCCAAGAGGATAGATCTTTCTTAATATCCAACCACAGTGCTTCATAGTTATTTTTTAGTAATTGGGAGTTTTTTACTGTTATTTGGATTCCGAGGTATTTAATTTTGGTTGAAATTTTCATGTCAGTTATTTTCTCTAGTTTCTCTTGATTTATTTTGGAAACATTTTTCGTCAAAATCATTGTTTTTTTCTTGTTTATTTTGAGACCGGCCAAGTTGCCGAATTTTTCAATTTTATTTATCCATTTTCTGATGTTGTCTCTAGGTTCGTCGACAAAGCATATCAGGTCAACCGCGAAGGCTTTTATTTTGTAGGTTTATTTTCCTACTTTTGGTCCTAATAATTCCTTGTCTGTCCTTATGTTTCTCATTAGGATCTCGATGGAGAGGATAAAAATTAGGGGCGAGAAGGGACATCCTTGTCTTGTGCCTTTTTGTATTTGGAAACTCTCTGTCAGTTGGCCATTAATCCATAATTTTGCCTTTTCTGTTTCGTATATTGCTTTGATTGCGTTTATGAAGTGGAAGCCTATGTCGACTTCCTCTATTAGGAGTTTAAAGAAATCCCAGTTCAGGTTATCGAAAGCCTTCTCTGTGTCCAGCGCAAGGAAGGCTATTTCTTTTTGATGGTTGGTCTCATAAAATTCTATTAGGTCAATAACCGTTCTCATGTTGTCCTTAATGTGTCTATCCGGGAGGAATCTACTTTGGTCTTCTCCTATCCATTCGTTACGCCATGTTTTGAGCTGTTCCGCTAGGATGTTCGCGAAGATTTTGTAGTCAATGTTGAGCAGAGATATTGGCCTGTAGTTTCGGACGTCCATCTCGTCTGTATTTTCTTTGTGTATCAGTGTTATAACAGCTTCTTTCCAGGTATCCGGGATATTTTCACCAGTTAGCACAAGGTTCATCAATTTCTTGAAGAATAGTGTTATCTCCTCTTTCATTACTTTGTAGAATCCCGCCGTCAAGGTTCTTTATCGCTTTCTTTATTTCATCCTCAGATATATTTCTGTTTAATAGTTCTCTATGGTATTCTGATATCTTATCTAATTTTTGTTTTCCCAAGAAGTTCATGATGTCTTCTTTTTTATTTGATCTTTACAGATTAGTAAAAACTTTGTAGAATTCATCCTTAATATCCTGTTCTGATACTATTATATTATTTTCTGCTGAGATTCTGGTTATGAGGTTCGCTTGTTTTTTCCTCCTGATCTTCCTAGCTAGCCAACGGCCCGGTTTGTTTGCATTTTGAAAGGTTTTTTGTTTGATGAATTTCAATTCTTTAGCCATTTGTTCTATCTCTAGTTGGTGTTTTTGCTCTTTTAGAAGGTCCAGTCTGTCTGTCTTTTGGTTTTTGTTTAAGATTTTTTTCCCTCTCTATTGATTTCTGCTTGTATCTCTTGCAGTTTTTGTCGTTTTTTTGTTTTTGGCCGCAGTTTGCTGAATAAAATGGCCCCTCATGACTGCTTTGCAGGCATTCCAAATTGTCTCTGGCTTTACATCTGGTGTAATGTTATTGTCGACATATTCCTTTATCAATGCTTTGTTTTTCTTAATATCTGCCTCTTTTTTCAGTAGGTTGTCATTCAGTCTCCATCTTCTCACATTATTTCTATGGTTGATTTTCATTTCAATTGAACAATGATCTGAGTAATTCCTGGCCAGAATTTTTATTTGGGTTATTTTGGAGGTTAAGGACTTTGAAGTCCAGATGTCAATTCTGGACCAGCTTAGGTGTCTATTGGAGAAGAATGTGTAGTCTTTTTCTTTTGGGTTATGTGTTCACCAGGCATCTTGTAGGTCGAGTTCTTCTTTCATTCTTAGTAGAGATTTTGGAAGTGTACTGATTTGTTCTTGTTTTCTATTTTTCTTTTTGGGGTTTTTGTTGGATTCGATATCTAAAACACCATTAAAATCTCCAAGAATGATCAGGTTGTCAAAGTCTTGTTCTTCTATGTGTTGCTTTAGTGCTGTCACAAATTTGGTCTTTGGTCCATTTGGGGAGTATATGTTGCAGACTAGGGTTGTTAGCCATCCTATTTTTAGCTTTACCCCCACTATTCTGCCTTCCTGATCTTTGAAGGTGAGTTCAGCTGAAATGTTCTCTTTTATGTACACCACCACCCCTCTTTTTTTCTGTTGCCAAGGAATAGAATTCTTTACCCAAATTTTTGTTCGTCAAATGTGATGCATGTTTTTGTTTTATATGAGCTTCCTGCAGCGCCACTAGATTGTATTTGGCTCTCTTAATGTGGTTAAAAAAAATTCCCTTTTAGTCAGGGAATTGATTCCATTTATATTGTTTGAAAAACATTTTATTTCTATTTGTACATCATTCATCATCATCTTTATCATTAATAAGTATCTCATCTGGGGTGGTTTCGTCTTCTTCGGGGTTGTTCGGCTGCTGGGTATCCATGCTAGTTTTTGCTCTGGTATATTCTGGTGAGGAAAAGTGGCGTTTCTTAGTCATCCTTGTCTCTCTTGATTCGTTTGAGGTATTTTGCTCTTTGTCTTTCTTCAGTTTCTTGTAGAAATCCTGGGCTTTTTCTTCGGAGGTGAGTCAGTGTGTTTGTTCTTTATAGGTGACCATTATGCCTTCGGACTTTTCCCATCTAAATCTGATTTGGAGTTCTTTTAGCTCATTAGTCAGGAAAAACTACTTTCTTCTTTTACTTAGGGTGGACATAGGATGTTCTTTTAAGATGATCACTCTATTTTCTTTGAAGAAGGTTGGTGACTCGCTGTTCTTCTTGAGGATTTCGTCGCGTGTTCTTTTTCTGTTGAATTGAACAATTACATCTCTGGGAGCATTATTTCTTTTGGTGAAGTTAGTGGAAATTCTGAAGGTCCTGTCTATTTCCTGATCCATTTGTTCTGTTTCTTTTTGCAGGATTGATGCTGCCATTTTCACAATTATCTGTCTTATATTTTCTTTTGGTTCTTCCTGGATGTTTCTAAATCTTAATTGAAACTCTAGCTCTTTTTGCTCTAGTCTTTCCTGCATTTGTTCTAATTTTGTGTTCTTGATCTCTAATTTTTTGACTCTTTTTTGGATTTTTTTTGCGTTGCTTCTATTTTCTCTTTATCCAATTTGAGTTCCTTCGTTTCATTACGTACTGTTTTAAGTTCTGCTTTTATAAAGCCGATGTCTTCAGCAAGGTCAGTTTTCATATTCTGGATATGCTCTTGAACCCTCTTGTACTTTTCTTCCTGTCTCTCCACCAGGGTTTCCATTTTTTGTTGGTGAAGGTCTTGTTTCTCAGCTAGTTTTTGTATTTCTTTTATTACGTCTTTTAGTGATGTTTCTTCCGATCCTGAGGGTCTTCTCTGTGTGCCTTTTATCTCTTTGATGTCTTTGTTTTTTGGTGTAGCCATGTTCTTCTTCCAAGTCCTGATTTCTTTTGCCAAGGTTATATGGTGTATTTTGTCTTAGAGCTTTCTGTTATGTTATGTGGTGTTGTTCTGTTTAACTTAATAGGTTAATTAATTAATTATTTATCTTTTAAACTTTTAATCTTTCTGAGGTAGGAATGCTAAAAATTGACTAATGAGGATTGGTGGGTACCTTAGAACTAAATTGATAAAATATATTATTTAATATATTATTTATTCTTGTAGTAGATAATAAAATGCAATATCATAGATTAATTGATTGATTAATTAATAGTTATAATAAATAGTAATGTGCAATATCACAAGTTGATTAATTAGAAGGTGGTATAAAGACTTTTAAATAGATTAATTAATATGTTGATAAGTTGATTAATTTCTCTATAGAGTTATTTGTGTATTTAATTTAGGTATACAATTTGATAGTTAAAACATTCCTTTAGATTCTTCTTTTGAAGTGAAATATCTCTTTTATTAATATATTGTGAAGTTCGGTTAATTCTTTATTTTATATGTATTTAAATATTTATTTTTCCTATTTAATTGATGTATTAAGGCACTCTGAATTGTTTTAATGTTTTAGGAAGTGTCAAAACTTTGGACGGGTGGGGGGGGGGTAGTAGTTAATCTTTATTTTCTATCTTTCTTCTCACTTTAATCATCCTTCTCCGGTCCTCTTTTACATTGTATGCTTTACTATCGTCTCTCTCGCCTCCGTTTAGGATGGATTCTCTTCTTCTCTTCTTTCAGCTTTTGCCAGCTGTTCTCTCCCTTCTGTGGTTCCTACCGTGCCTGCTTCTATTCTCCCCTCCCTGCGTCTCATTGAATGATTTGATTTATTGATTTATTTGTCTTTTTGAGTTTAATTAGTATTTATTATTTTATTTTAATTTTATTTTTTCCTTTACTTTCAGTTATTTCCGCCCTCACTGAGGTACTCTTGCCCTTTCTTAGAGCTCCCTCCTTCCTGTATCCTGTTGCGCACTTCCTGATTTCTCGGCTTTGCTGTTTTCTTGCCGTTCTATCCCATCCTTTGCGCTCTTTGATTTTAGTTGTTTAAAGGGAACCTTCCCTCCGGATCGAAGCAGCCTATTCTTCAAAGTAAGTGTGGTCTTTTTTCCCATTTATTTATTTATTTTCCACTCGGGCTGCCATGTAAGAAAGTTTAGTTGGTTGAAATGGGAGCCTTCCCTCCAACTAGTTAAGAGTTAATATTAAACTGCAAAAGTTATTTCGGTTCCTTTTCTTCTCCTGTTCCTGGCCCTGTTCCCTCTGGCTTCTCCCGTCTCCAGTCTTTTATGATTGTTTTAGAGAGTATATTTTAATTCATTACTTTAATAGTCACTATGAGTGTCCTTTTCGTACCCAGAATGAATTTAAAGGGTGTTCTTTGGTAACTTACTGTTACACTGTGGCTGGTCTCTCGCCTCACCGCTTGTAAGGTCTTTTTCTTTTTTCCCTTTTGGTTAAAAAGATGAGCAGGGCTGGCAGTGTCTGCAAGCTGTCGCTCGCTTCCCTCCTCTCGGCCCGCTTGCCGGCACCACTTTGCCGGGCCCACTCGGCTGGCCCCCTTGAGGGGAGTCAGCTTTTGGGGTCGTCAGTGGGGTTACCTGGGCTTTGCGTCCCCTTGTGGCTTTTTTTCCGCCTGGGGAGGGGGTTTAAACGGCCCACCTGGCCTGAAAGGTGGTTGATATCCTGAGCGTTCTCAGAATACCCTACCTGCCGCCATCTACGCTCACCGGAAGTCCAGGAAAGCAAATCTTAAGCAACATTATCTCCTCTGAGAGGCACCAAGTAAACATCACTTAATTTAAATGTGACCAAGAAACCATGAAATCATGCCGCAAGGATTTCTCACGGGGTCTCTCAGAATATCTAATTATTCTATCTTTCACTCCACCCGTCCTCAACCCTAATCTGGCTTCACGGGAAAACTCCTCATTGCCCAGAGGCTGTTTCACAAGGGAACTGAACTCCTCATTTTCTGTTGCCTGGGAACAAGGACTGGAATCCAAAACAATGGCCTCATCGGCCTGCAATTCTCTCTGAACAGGACCGGCAACAGGGAACCCCCCCCCCCCATCTCTGCACTTCGGTGCAGCTGTACTAAATGCATTGCCCCCAAGAGCAACGTCAGCAGACAAGCAACGAAGCACTCTCTGCGCACAAATCTAGCAAGGTTTAAGCTTTTCCTTCATTCCAGTCACTCTATAGAATCATAGAATATTAGAGTTGGAAGAGACCCTAAGGGCCATCTAGTCCAACCCACTTCTGCCAAGCAGGAAAAGCACAATCAAAGCACCCCTTGACAAAGTACATTAGAATTAAAATTCAGAAGAAAATTTGGGGTTGGGAAGCCTTTTGCAAATCAAAACGGCAACTTGCAAATGCAAAACCTCTGTATATGGAAAACCAGTTCAGAGTTTCTTTTTTCAAAAAACACCTTTCTGGCGGTCTGCGAGTGAAATGGTCCAGAAGTGTCTGCAGATCCAGGATCCCAATGGCAGCTCCATCCCAAACACTTCTGGAGGGCCCAGGTGGTCACTCACGACTGAGGGAGGATGAGCCCACCACCCCATTCCATGCCCCGGAGAGGGTGCCTCCAAAGCCAGGCAAGCCCTGGATGCTGGAGGTGCAGAAGGGGCCGCGGAGATGGGGCCCGGACTCACACTGAGCACCCCTTTGAGGAAGGCTTTGGTAGCCAGGAAGCCAGGGCCGTCCACAGTTCTCCCATCGTCCTCGGGACCCCAGCTGGCACTGTAGATGTGGATGTGCTGCGGGTGCAGGCTCAAGGACTGGGCCTCCACCACGTCCGTCACTGGACCATCCAGCATCCGCACCCCTGCAAGGGAATGGAGAGGCAAGGGCTAAGATCATAGCAACTGTGTTGTGGCCAGAATCACTGGGTTGCTGTGAGTTTTCCACGCTGTATGGCCATGTTCCAGCAGCATTCTTTCCTGACATTTTATCTGCTTCTGTAGCTGGTGGCATCCTCAGAGGTTCTGTTGTCAGTGAGGCAAGTGGGGTGTATATACCTGTGGAATCATGTGGGAGAAAGAATCCTTTTCTGTTGCAATTAATCACCAATCTGCAATAAATCTTGCCAACCAGAAGGCTGATAGTTCGAAACCCAGGTCAGGGAGAGCGCCTGACCTTTCAGCCCAGCTTCTGCCTACCTAGCAGTTCAAAAACAAATATGTGAGTAGATAAATATGAACCGCATTAAAAGCAAGGAGGTATTTTAGGCACGGCTTTTCCATCAGAAAAAGGAGGAAAGTTTATAATAACAGAAAAATGCTCTTTGGCAAGGAGATGGAGCAACAGCACCCCCCATCTCTGGAACCGAACACAGCCTCCAAAGATGCCGTAAGATGGGAAAGCCTAAATACATACCTCTATCTGTTGTCTGTCTTGTCATTGTATAATTGGCATTGAATTTTTGCCATATATGTGTTCTGTGATCCGCCCTAAGTCCCCTTTGGGGTGAGAAGTACTGTAAATAAATAAATTGAGGTAGAAACAGGAGAACTCCAGACAGCAAACAATCAAGGGCTGGTAAACACCTACCAAACAGAGGATGCCCCCAGACACCAAAGGTCAGGCTACCTCTATGCAGAAACCCACACTAATTGACTGCAAACTTCATGGATACTCCAATGCTAATTCAAGCTTGCTAATAGCAACATGCACACTTGCTTCAAACAGACAAGGGTCATTTCTCAACCCTGGGCATCATTCCACAGGAGTATATATACACTCCACTTGCTTCACTGCCAATAGAACCTCTGAAGATGCCAGCCACAGATGCAGGCTAAATGTCAGGAGAGAAAAAACTCTGAGCAAGTCAATTGTTAAATTGCTTTGCATTGTATTTTTAACAATGTTAATTGATGTCTACACAGCTTGTTGTCAGAGGAAGGTGAGAAGGGCTACAAGGAATGAGTTGAGACATAAACGATTTTTCACAGTTCTGAAGGGAGTGATTTCTAGGCCCGAAGATGACTGCAGACGCAGACTGTAGCCAGGAAATCCTTCTTGGGAGGAGAGCAAGGACCAATTTCAATCAAAGAGTGAAGAGTAGAGACATCACACTGGAAACGAAAATCCGCATGCTTAAAGCAATGGTATTCCCTGTAGTAAACTATGGATGCGAGAGCTGGACCATAAGGAAGGCTGAGTGAAGGAAGAGAGATGCTTTTGAACTGTTGTATTGGAGGAAAATGCTGACAGTGCCTTGGACCGCAAGAAGATCCAACCAGTCCATACTCCAGGAAATAATGCCCGGCTGCTCACTGGAAGGAAGGATATTAGAAAGATATTTGGCCACATAATGAGAGGCAATGATGCTGGAGAAAATGGAAGCAAAAAGACAGGCAGACCAAGGGCAAGATGCTATCCTTGAAGTGACTGAAGTTGCTGTGGGTGGTCACAGTTGACAGGGAGCTCTGGCCTGGGCTGGTCCAGGAGGGCAACAAGAGGCAGAAGAGACTGAATAAATAAACAACAACAAGCAGCTCACTGGAGGGAAGAGTATCAGAGGCAAAGTTGAAGTACTTTGGCCACATAGTGAGAAGACAGAAAAGCTTGGAGAAGATAATGATGCTGGGGAAAATGGAAGGAAAAAGGAAGAGGGACCAAGGACAAGAGGGATTGATGGTATCTTTGAAGGGACTGGCTTGACCTGGAAGGAACTGGGGGTGGCCACTGCCCACAGGGAGCTCTGGTATGGGCTGGTCCAGGAGATCATGAAGAGTTGGAGGCGACTGAATTAATAAACAACAACAACGAAGGGAGTGATATTCCTAAGTAGAAGCCAGCCAGCAAATGCTCACTTGCCCCCAATTTTGGCTCTGTAGGCGACGCCGGCTCCACAGATATCGTTGTTGGCGGCTGCAGCTACCTCACCTGCACATCGCGTCCCGTGTCTGGGAGGGAAAAACAAAGAATGATTTTGACACTTAGCACTATTGTGCCATTAATGCAATTGATCTCTATGTCCCTTGTGTTTAATTCATGAATGGGGCAAAGCACAGATCCCCCTAACTCTTCCTATAATTTTTCCAGTATCTCCCTGAAACTAACCTGTTCTCATCCCAGGGATTGTATCGCGGCTGAGGATCAGGATCATTGTCATTGAAGTCATGACTCGCCAAAGGATCCTGCAGAAAGAGGGAAGCGGGAACCACAACAAACAAAAACAATAATATATAATAAAAATAATAAATATAAATAATAACAATAATGTAATAATAAATGTAATAAATTGTTGTTGTTGTTGTTGTTGTTATTATTATGGCAGGAAAATTAATCCTTGAGAGATATCTAAACATGAGGAAGAACTTCCTGACCGTAAGAAGAGTTCAAAAGGGAAATTCTCGGCCTCCTCAGAGTCCAGTGGAAGCTCCCTCCTTGGAGGCTTTTAAACAGAGGCTGGATGAATGGCCATTTGTTGGAGGTGCTATTATGATGCTTTTCTTGCTGGCAGAAATAGGGATTGGACTGGATGGCCCATGTGGTCCGCACCCTAGAATCCTATCTATCAGTCTATCTATCTCTTAAGAGGTTGGACTGGATGGCCCCTTCCACCTGTAGGATGGTTCAATGATGCTCTCAAGCCCCACCTCCGACTCACATAGTTGGGGGCCAGGTCTGGGTGGTCCTTCTCAAGCCCGTCGTCCAGGATGCTGACCACGACCCCAGATCCCGTGTAGCCCTGTCTCCAAGCGCTTAGCACCTCCAGGTCCGGATGCAGCTCATGGTTCTCCAGGGGGAAGAAGAAGAAGACAAGGGGCCCTCAGACACAGGAGGGCTCTCGGGCACCTGGGGACCAGCCCTGCTCCGCGCCGCACAACGCACCATGTACCACTGTTTGGGGAACCAGGGGTCACTGGGCACCGCCCTCCGCACGCGCCGCTTCAGTGTCTGCTGCTCGAACCACAGGATCTAGAGCCAAAATACACTGGGAGTCACCTGCCTGGAGGTCTTCCAAACAAGAGCTGTCCGATCGATTGATCAGTAGATAGATAGACAGTCAAGAATATAGAAAAGGACGGGGATGAAAATTAGAGATGTATAAAGAGTTAGAAAGAAAATTTATTTGGAAACTAGCCATGCCCTGCCATGTGTTGCTGTGGCTTTTTGAAGTAGAGGTAGCTGACTGGACAATTATGCAAGAGAGGTACCTACCTATTCCTTGCCCCCTTTTTCTTTCCCTTCTCCTTTTTCTCCTTTCTTCCTTCTCTACCTCTTTCTTTCATTGCTTTCTTCACTCTTTAGTTCCATCCTTCCTTCTCTCTTTCCTTCCTTCTTTCCCTCCTCCTTTCTCTCCTTCTTCCCTTCTCCCCTTCCTTCCCTCCCTGTTTTCTTCATTCTTCCACTTTTATTTTCTTTCCCCTTCTTTACCTCATTCCTTCCTTTCCTCCCCTTTCTCTTTCCTTTCTCCTTTGTCTTCTTCTTTCCTTCTGTACCTCTTTCTTTCCCTCCTTCCTTCCCTATTTCCTTCCCTCCTTCATTTTTTTCCTCCCTCCTTCTCTCTTTTGTTCCTTCCCCCTTGCCCTCCTTTATTCCTTCCCTCTTTTCCTCCCTGCCTTCTGTCCTTCCTTCCCATCTTCTTTCTTTCTTTCTATGTTAAGGAGGTCTTGGTTTTAGTCCTGCCTCTTGTTGTTTCTCCCTCCTGTTGCTTTCTGCTGCAGCCTAGCCACCTGGAACATCTTCCTCATTCCCCTTCCCTTGTGCTCTGTGCCCACTTCTCCCACCGCCAGCACCACTGCCACCATCATCTTGGGCTCCCTTGGTAGCCACCAAGGCCAGAGCACATCGATAGCAGGCGCCCCAGGTAGGTGGTTGCCATCGATCACTCCGCCATCCGCTATCCATCCTTGGAGGCCAAATAGAGGGAACAGAAGAGACAGAGCAGAAAACACTAAGCGTTTTGGACTTCAATTCCCAGATTCCTTTCTCATTGTCCAAGCTAGTAGAGGCTTCTGAAAGTTGAAGTCTAGTGTGTGGGAATCACTGCGAGGGGCTGAGCCTCCCTCCTTGGGCCTGATGGAGCCACTGGGGTGGCTCCAGCTGCTGCCAGGGCTTGCCTCACCAAGCCTCCATGCCCTCCATCGGGCCAGGCCTTCTCCTTCCTTCCTTCTTTCCTCAATCAAGGATCCTAACCTGGGGATGTAGGAGTGTCAACCAGTTCTGGATGGGGTATCACTCCCCCTGAAGGACTGGGTTCACAGATTGGATCAAGGGCTCCTGGACCCATCTCTCCAGAGAGAGATGCAATGTTTAGGCTTCCTACCACCTTTGGTACCAGCTTTAGGTCAAAGGACCTAACTTCAAGGATGGACATCTGCAATGCGCTGCCCTTTGTATCAAGTTCAGGAATTCTCCAATTGGTTCAAAACACAACAGCCAGACTAGTTATAGAAACTTCCAGATGTGAGCACATCACCCAACAGGGGGGTTATTATTATTATTATTATTATTATTATTATTATTGCTTTTATTAGTTTATTCTGTTATTACTGTTATTACTACATTTCCATTATTTTACTCTATTATTATTATTTCTTTTACATATATTATTTTAATTATTATTATTGGAAGCATACGTAAGCAAATTTACATTGAAGAAGGTTAGAATAATGGTTTAATCAGTTGGACAGTCTTATCTTAAATTATAGTTTTATGTAAACATTCAAAAACATTTAACCTACTGATGCCTCAATTACTGCAATTTTATTGGTATCTATTTTTATTTTGAAATTTATCAGCTGCTGCATTTCCCACCCTCGGCTTATACTCGAGTAAATATATTTTCCCTGTGTTTTGTGGTAAAATTAGGTGCCTCAGCTTGTATTTGGGTTGGCTTATACTCGAGTATATACAGTATTTTATTTTCATACATTTTGACTTAGTTGTAGCCCTCCTTGAGTTCTTAGGGGAAGCGGGTAACAAATAACACCGGGACTGTGGCGCAACTGGCTGGGAGTCAGCTGCATTAAGATCACTACTGACCAAAAGGTCATGAGTTCGAAGCCAGCCCAGGTTGGAGTGAGCTACTGACCAATTTGTGTAGTTTGCTGTCGACCTTTGCAGCCTGAAAGACAGTTGCATCTGTCAAGTAGGAAATTTAGGTACCGCGCATGCGGGGAGGCTAATTTAATTAATTTATGACGCCATAAAAATCTCCAGCAAACATGCAAAGAATGAGGAAGTACTTCATCAGTGTCACAAATGGACGGTGAAGCGACAGCTCCCCTGGTGGCCAGAATACCCTCATCAAAAACCTAGAAGTTAAATAGCCTCTGTGTGTCTGTCTATATATGTTGTGTGTCTATGGCATTGAATGTTTGCCATGTATATGTACATTGTAATCCGCCCTGAGTCCCCTGGAGAGTGAGAAGGGAGGAATATAAATACTGTAAATAATAATAATAATAATAATAATAATAATAATAATAATAATGGGATTTGCAGTACTTTCACCCAATTCAGCTTCAACTTCCACAGACCACTGTGACCCACACAAATGAAGGACCTGGACCAAACTTGACAAACAAACCTCCCGTGACCCACTATATGTCCTGTTGAAGTTTGGGGGAGGACAGACCATGGATGATGGGATTTGCAATACTTTAACTCACTTCCAGAGAGCACTGCGATCCCCACGAATGACGAACCAGGATCAAACTTGGCACACAGACCCCCTCCCCCCCATGACCCACTATACGTTCTGGTGCAGTCTGGGGGAGGATGGACCATGGATGTTAGGATTTGAAGTACCTTCATCCAATTCAGCTCCAACTTCCACAGACCACTGTGACCCCCATGAATGACGGACCTGGACCAAACTTGGCACACAGACACCTCATGACCAACAGAACATACTGGAGAAGTTTGGGGGCCACTGACATTGATTTATGGGAATTATACTTCACCTGCATTGAGGGAAACTGTGACCCCCCCCCCAACGACAATGGACCAGGACCAAACTTGGCACAACAAAGCCCCGTGACCACCTGAACATATTGCAGGGCTTTGTGAGAATTGACCTTGATTTGGGGAGTTGTAATTCACTCTTCCAGAAAGCAGTGAACCCAGCCAGTGATGAACTTGGACCAAACTTGGCACACAGACCCAACACGGGAACTGTGCATACTGGCAGGGTTTGGGGGTGATTGCCCTGGGAATCTGGGAGTTGTAGCTCACCCTTATCTAGATATCACTGAACTCAGCTGATGTCGGATCTGGACCAAACTTGGCACACAGACCCAACATGGCCAACTTTGAATAATTGCAGGGTTTGGAAATGATTAACCCATGTTTCCGGGAATTGTCGTTCACTCACACCCTTATGCATTTTCTAATGGGAGCATTCATAAAAAACAAAAGGAAAGACTTCTCACCCTGCAGATATGGTAGCCATGTATAAATATGTAAGAGGAAGCTACAGGGAGGAGGGAGCAAGCTTGCTTACTGCTTCCATGGAGATTAGGACAAAGAACAATGGCTTCAAACTACAAGAAAGGAGATTCCATCTGAACATGAGGAAGAACTTCCTGACTGTGAGAGCCGTTCAGCAGTGGAACTCTCTGCCCCGGAGTGTGGTGGAGGCTCCTTCTTTGGAAGCTTTTAAACAGAGGCTGGATGGCCATCTGTCAGGGGTGATTTGAATGCAATATTCCTGCTTCTTGGCAGGGGGTTGGACTGGATGGCCCATGAGGTCTCTTCCAACTCTTTGATTCTATGATTCTATGACTGGCTTTAAAAAATAAATAGCGTTACATTAGCAAACTGATATTACCAAACTTCGCAAAACAACCAATGCCTTTCTCAAATAACCTGGGTACCGCCGGATCCCCAAGCTAGTAAACAATAAACAATGATGATGGTAATAATAATAATAATAATAATAATAATAATAATAATAATAATAAAATAATAATATTAATGACTGAAGTCATTTCAACCCCAGGGTTGGGGGAACTGACCTTTGGGTCTTTCTCTAGGCGGAGGTTCCATCCCCGATGCCGTCTCAAGGACTTCTGGGCCAAGCCCCGGTGCTTCAGGTGGAAATAGGGCTCTCCTTCAATCACCTGGGAAGCAAAGAGGGCATCACCTGCAAAGGTATTTTCGAGGTCCTTCAGCACAACTCTATGCTAAAGACCTCACAGATTGGGAGTCATATCAGAAATTCAACTTGGCTAAGAATCAAAATAAAGTCTTTTATTGGGTTGTTGTAGATTTTTCGGGCTATATGGCCATGTTCTAGAGGCATTCTCTTCTGACGTTTCACCTGCATCTATGGCAAGCATCCTCAGAGGTAGTGAGGTCTGTTGGAACACCGCAACAGAAAGAAGCTTAGATTGTGCATCCACCATTAAGGGGCTTTTGGGAAAGAGTTGTTCTCATTGTTGATATTATTATTATTATAATGGCCAATGTGCCACCACCACCACCACCACCACCATCATCATCATTAAAAAGACTAATGGGTCAACGTCAATATTATTGTCATTAGAATGGCCAATGGGTCAATGTCATTATTATTATTATTATTATTATTATTATTATTATTATTATTAGAATGTGCCAACGTCATTATCATCATTAGAATGGTCAATGGGCCAATGTCGATATTATTATTGTTGTTATTAGAATTGCCGATGTGCCATCATTATTATGAGAAGGGCTAACAGGTCAACGTCAATATTATTGTGTTGTAGAAGACTTTCATGGCTGAAATCAACAGATTGCTGTGTGTTTTCCAGGCTGTCTGGCCATGTTCCAGAAGCATTCTCTCCTGGCGTTTTGCCCACATCTATGAAAGGCATCCTCAGAGGTTGTGAAGTCTGTTGGAAACTAGGAAAATGTGGTTGATATATCTATGGAATGATGTCCAGGGTAGGAGAAAGAACTCTTGTCTGCTTGATTAGCATTAAATGGCCTTGCAGCTTCAAAACCTGGGAGAATCTTTTGTTGGGGGGGTGTTAGCTGGCCCTCATTGTTTCCTGTCTGAAATTCCCTTGTTTTTTGAGTGTTGCTCTCGATTTACTGTTCTGATTCTAGAGTTTTTAATACTGGTAGCCAGATTATGTTCATGTTCATGGTTTCCTCCTTTCTGTTGAAATTGTCGACATGCTTGTCAGGGCCAGCTAGCACCTCCTAACAAAGTATTCCCCCAGGCAAGAAGCAGCCAGGCTTTGGGGCTGCAAAGCCATTCAGTGCTGACCAGGATGGCCAATGGCAACGTTCACACTTGCCTCAAGCAGACAAGAGTTCTTTCCCCCACCCTGGACATTCCACAGATATATAAATCTCACTTCCCTAGTTTCCAGCAGACCTCACATCACATATGGGCGAAACATCAGAAGATTTATTTATTTATCGTGTCACAACATTATTATTATGAGAAAGGCCAATGTGTTGCATAATAATAATAATAATAATAATAATATCAGGAGGAGCCCCCGGTGGCGCAGTGGGTTAAACCCCTGTGCAAGCAGGACTGAAGACCGACAGGTCGCAGGTTCGAATCTGGGGAGAGGCGGATGAGCTCCCTCTATCACCTCCAGCTCTTCATGCGGGGACATGAGAGAAGCCTCCCACAAGGATGATAAAAACATCAAATCATCCAGGCGTCCCCTGAGCAACGTCCTTGCAGACGGCCAATTCTCTCACACCAGAAGCGACTTGCAGTCTCTCAAGTCACTCCTGACACGACAAAAAAAAAATTATTATCAGGATGGCCAATGAGTCAATGTCATTATTATTGTGATTGTTATTATTAGAATGGCCAATGTAATAATGTGTGAACGGAGACCAAGGGGGAGTGTCTTGGGTTCTCAGAACTAGGCCCATTAATAAATAATAATAATAAAGTAAAATAATGGAAATGCAATAATAACAGTAATAATAGAGTAGAATAATAAATGCAATAATAATAAAGTAAAATAATAAATGTAATAATAATCATAAATAGTGTAAAATAATAAATGTCATAATAATAATAGGGTAATATACTGTAAATACTGTAAATGTAATAATAATAAAGAGTAATGTATTGTCGAAGGCTTTCATGGCCGGAATCACTGGGTTGTTGTAGCTTTTTCTGGGCTATATGGCCATGTTCTGGAGGCAATTTTTCTCCTGACGTTTCGCCTGCATCTATGGCAAGCATCCTCAGAGGTAGTGAGGTCTGTTGGAAGTAGGAAAAATGGGTTTATATATCTGTGTTTATATGTGTTTATATATCTGCAGCTGTAGATAAGTCTACATAGGGACCACCAAACACAGCGCCCAGACACGCATCAAGGAACATGAAAGGCACTGCAAACTACTCCAACCAGAGAAATCAGCCATAGCAGAGCACCTGATGAACCAACCTGGACACAGCATATTATTTGAGAACACAGAAGTGCTGGACCACTCTCACAACCACCATGTCAGACTACACAGAGAAGCCATTGAAATCCACAAGCATGTGGACAATTTCAACAGAAAGGAGGAAACCATGAAAATGAACAAAATCTGGCTACCAGTATTAAAAACTCTAAAATTACAACAGCAAAACAACAGAGAGGAAACAAACAGGCACATAAAATCACTCTCAACAAGGGATTCCCCCCGGGCACTTCCAAGCCATTGAATGCTAATCAAGGTGATCAGCTGAAACATTCACAGCTAGCCCCAGCAGACAAAAGTCCTTTGTCTCACCCTGGTCATTCCACAGATATATAAACCCATTTTTCCTACTTCCAACAGACCTCACTACCTCTGAGGATTTATTTATCGTGTCATCAGCAACCATACCATTGTGTTACAATTCTAACAGAACAAAACAAACACACAGATTAAAAAGAAAAAAAAAACACACAGATTTTGCAAACTTGGTAGTTGGTTAACTGTCCTTTGACCAGTATCTGGCCACTTGGAGTGCCTCTGGTGTTGCCGCAAGAAGGTCCTCCATTGTGCATGTGGCAGGGCTCAGGGTGCATTGCAGCAGGTGGACTGTGGTTTGTTCTTCTCCACACTCGCATGCCGAGGATTCCACTTTGTAGCCCCATTTCTTAAGATTGGCTCTGCATCTCATGGTGCCAGAGCGCAGTCTGTTCAGCGCCTTCCAAGTCGCCCAGTCTTCTGTGTGCCCAGGGGGGAGTCTCTCATCTGGTATCACCCATGGATTGAGGTGCTGGGTTTGGGCCTGCCACTTTTGGACTCTCGCTTGCTGGGGTGTTCCAGCGAGTTTCTCTGTAGATCTAAGAAAACTATGTCTTGATTTAAGTCGTTGACGTGCTGGCTGATACCCAAACAGGGGATGAGCTGGAGATGTCTCTGCCTTGGTCCTTTCACTATTGTCTGCTACTTCCCGGCAGATGTCAGGTGGTGCAATACCGGCTAAGCAGTGTAATTTCTCCAGTGGTGTAGGGCGCAGACACCCCGTGATAATGCGGCATGTCTCATTAAGAGCCACATCCACTGTTTTAGTGTGGTGAGATGTGTTCCACACTGGGCATGCGTACTCAGCAGCAGAGTAGCATAGCGCAAGGGCAGATGTCTTCACTGTGTCTGGTTGTGATCCCCAGGTTGTGCCAGTCAGCTTTCGTATGATGTTGTTTCTAGCGCCCACTTTTTGCTTGATGTTCAGGCAGTGCTTCTTGTAGGTCAGAGCACGGTCCAAAGTGACTCCCAGGTATTTGGGTGTGTTGCAATGCTCCAGTGGGATTCCTTCCCAGGTGATCTTCAGAGCTCGGGATGCTTGTCTGTTTTTAAGGTGAAAGTCTGTGTTTTAGATGGATTAGGGATCAGTTGGTTTTCCCTGTAATAGGCAGTAAGAGCACCTAGAGCTTCAGAGAGCTTCTTTTCAACCATCTCAAAGCTCTGAGGATGCTTGCCATAGATCAGTGGTTCTCAACCTGGGGGTCGGGACCCTTGAAGGGGTCACGAGGGAGTGTCAGAGGGGTCACTAAAGACCATCAGAAAACACATTATTTTCTGTTGGTCATGTGAGTTCTATGTGGGAAGTTTGTCCCAATTCTATCGTTGGTGGGGTTCAGAATGCTCTTTGATTGCAGGTGAACTATAAATCCCAGCAACTACAACTCCCAAAATATAAAGGTCTATTTTCCCCAAACTCCACCAGTGTTCACATTTGGGCATATTGAGTATTCATGCCAAGTTTAGTCCAGGTCCATCATTGTTTGAGTCCACAGTGGTCTCTGGATGTAGGTGAACTACAACTCCAAAACTCAAGGTCAATGCCCACCCACCCCTCCAGTATTTTCTGTTGGTCATGGGAGTTCTGTGTGCCAAGTTTGGCCCAATTCCATTGTCGGTGGAGTTCAGAATGCTCTTTGATTACAGGTGAACTATAAATCCCAGCAACGACAACTCCCAAATGACAAAATCAATCCCCTCCAACCCCACCAGTATTCAAATTTAGGCATACTGGATATTTGTGCTAAATTTGGTCCAGTGAATGAAAATACATCCTGCATATCAGATAGTTACATTACAATTGATAACAGTAGCAAAATGACAGTTATTAAGTAGTAAGGAAAATAATGTTATGGTTGGGGGTCACCACAACATGCAGAATTGTGTATTGTCGAAGGCTTTCATGGCTGGAATCACTCAGTTCTTGTGGGTTTTTTCGGGCTATATGGCCATGTTCTAGAGCAGTGTTTCTCAACCTGGGGGTCGGGACCCCTGAGGGGGTCGCGAAGGGGTGTCAGAGGGGTCACCAAAGACCATCAGAAAACACAGTATTTTCTGTGGGTCATGGGGGTTCTGTGTGGGAAGTCTGGCCCAATTCTATCAGTGGTGAGGTTCAGAATGCTACTTGATTGTAGGTGAACTATAAATCCCAGTATCTACAACTCTCAAATGTCAAAGTTTATTTTCCCCAAACCCCATCAGTGTTCGCATTTGGGCATATTGAGTATCCATGGTCCAGATCCCTCATTGTTTGAGCCCACAGTGCTCTCTGGATGGAGGCGAACTGCAACTCCCAAACTCAAGGTCAATGCCCACCAAATCCTTCCAGTATTTTCTGTTGATCATGGGAGTTCTCTTTGCCAACTTTGGTTCAATTCCATTGTTGGTGGGGTTCAGAATGATCTTTGTTTACATGTTAACTATAAATCCCAACAACTACAACTCCCAAGTGACAAAATCAATCCCCCTACCAACCCCACCAGTATTCAAATTTGTGCATACCGGGTATTTGTGCGAAATTTGCTCCAGTGAATGAAAACACATCCTGCAGATCATTATTTACATGGCGATTCATAATGTTAGGGTTATGGTTGGGGGTCACTGCAACCTGAGGAACTATATTAAGGGGTCGCGGCATTTGGAAGGTTGAGAACCACTGTTCTAGAGGCATTTCTCCTGCCTCTAGAACATGGCCATATAGCCCGAAAAAACCCACAAGAACTGGATGCAGAATTGTATTAAGGGGTCGCAGCATAAGGAAGGTTGAGAACCACTGCCATAGATGCATGCGAAACGTCAGGAGAAAAATTGCCACCAGAACATGGCCTTATAGCTCGGAAAAACCTACAACAACCCAATAAAGAGTAAAATAAGAAATAACCTTGACTCGAGTATAAGCTGAGGTGAGCTTTTTCAGCCTAAAAAAGGGGCTGAAAACCTAGGTATATACAGTGTTTGTACACAGCCACTCTCGCCTTTCATAGGGAAAGCGCTCTGCGCATGCTCAAAACTTCCCTCCGAAACGCAACAGGTTTCCCTCATAAAGTTTCTCCTGCTGCTGAGGAAAGGCGCGCTGCGCATGCTCAGTTTCCCTCTAAGGGAAAAAGCTCTGGGCATGATTCCCTGAGAAAAGCAACCCTTTTGGTGGTTTCCCTCCCAAAGTCTCTCCCTGCTCTCGCTCACCTGCCCGAGGAAGAGCAGGGCGTGCTTGCGGGCGAGGCGCTGGGCCTGGAGGCTTCCTTCGGGGACGCGTACGGCCCAGTGGTTGACGTACACGCGCCCCTGTCCGCGCCCGCCCCCCAGCAGCAGGCCGAGCAGCCCCAGCATCCCCAGCAGACCCGCTGCCCCCCTCATGGCGTCCTCCAGCCGCCTTAGAACCTCGCCGCGGCCTCCCGCTTTATAGTTTCGAGTCGCGCCAGGTGGGCCACAGCCATCGTCGCCATGGCAACAGCGGGGCCCCCGCCCTCAAGAAAAGACAGAGCAGATTAGAGTTTTCTTACCCTGGCAGGTGTGGTCCCGCCCCTTCTCTCCCATTGGCCGGACGGTGCCTCTGCCCTGGAAGCCCCGCCCACCTGTTAGAGCTGAGCGGCTATTTTATTTATCGTGTCAGGGGCAAACCAAACAGTTGCGTTGCATTTTTTAACAGACAAACAAACAAATAAAACACAAAGTTTGCAAGCTTGGTAGTTGATTAAATGTCGCCCAGTTTTCTTTGTGCCCAGGAGGGAGTCTCTCATTTGGCATCAGCCATTGGTTGAGGTTCTGGGTTCTAGCCTGCCACTTTTGGACTCTCGCTTGCTGAGGTGTTCCAGCGAGTGTCTCTGTAGATCAGGGTTCCTCAAACTAAGGCCCGGGGGCCGGATGCGGCCCTCCAAGGTCATTTACCCGGCCCTCGCTCAGGGTCAACCTAATTCTGAAACAACGTGAAAGCGCACAATAACAACAACAATCCTATCTCATCACCCAAAAGTAGGACGACACTTCCCACTGAAATACTAATAAATTTATATTTGTTAAAATTGTTCTTCATTTTAATTATTGTATTGTTTGTAAGTGTCTTTTGCACTACAAATAAGATATGTGCAGTGTGCATAGGAATTCATTCATGTTTTCTTCAAATTATAATCTGGCCCTCCAACAGTTTGCGGGACTGTGACCTGGCCCTCTGTTTAAAAAGTTTGAGGACCCCTGCTGTAGATCTTAGAAAACTATTTCTTGATTTAAGTCATTGAGAGAGGTCAACCCTCCTGTTCAAGGAGCTCCACTGGCTGCCGTTTATTTTCCGAGCCCAATTTAAGGTGCAGGTGCTTACCTACAAAGCCCTGAACGGTTTGGGACTAGCCTATCTGCGTGACCGCATCTCCATCTATGAACCCACGCGTTCTCTTCGCTCATCTGGAGAGGCCCTGCTCGTGATCCCACCTGCATCGCAAGCGCGGTTGGCGGGGACACGAGACAGGGCCTTTTCCATGGTGGCCCCCCGACTCTGGAACACTCTCCCCAAAGATCTTAGACAGGCCCCTACATTGGCAGTCTTCAGAAAGAACTTGAAGACCTGGCTGTTCCGATGTGCCTTCCCCGAATAGGAAACCTCCAATACCAAGTCCCAGAAGCACTTTATTAGAACTAAGATTGTGGCACACCGCACACTGCACTTGCCCTATAAGCCTTATATTCCACCTGTCACATCAGCACTTTTAATCCTGTACCCATTACTCTGGCCCGGCCCAGTTTTATTGTGTCTTAGTGTATTGTTTATTGCTTGTTGTTTAGATTGCTTTAATTGTTTTTAATTTGCCTTACTTGTTGTATTGTTATATTGTGTGTTCAGGCCTTGGTCTTTGTAAGCCGCATAGAGTCCTTCGGGAGATGCTAGCGGGGTACAAATAAAGTTTATTATTTATTTATTTATTTATTTACATCACTTATATCCCACCCATATCAGCCCGCAGGCGACTCAGGGCGGTCTACATATCGGCACAATTTGATGCCATCAATACAATACAAAAGCAAAAACAATTAAGTGCATTTAGACAAAAAAGACAGTGCAATAACAATTTAAAAAGAGCTATATCCACTCAATCCAATCCTCATCCGTTTCATCGTCTTGGCTGTTCCTGGGTCATTCTCCATCTCAAGCTTGACTATCTATTCCGGGGTTCCGAATGCCTGCTCGAAGAGCCAGGTTTTCACTCTCTTACGAAAGGTCAGGAGGGAGGGGGCTGATCTAATATCCCTAGGCAGGGAGTTCCACAGCCGAGGGGCCACCACAGAGAAGGCCCTGTCTCTCGTCCCCGCCAAGCGTGCTTGCGAAGCAGATGGGATTGAGAGCCTCCTCAGATGATCTTAACTTCCTGGAGGGTTCGTAGGAAGAGATGCGTTCGGATAGGTAGGCTGGGCCAGAACCGTTTAGGGCTTTATAGGCTAAAGTCAGCACTTTGAATTGGGCCCGGTAGCAAACTGGCAGCCAGTGGAGCTTGCGCAGCAGAGGAGTTGTGTGCTCCCTGAGCGCCGCTCCTGTTAGCAACCTGGCTAATAATAATTATTATATAATAATAATAATAATAATAATAATAATAATAATATGTCGCTCCGGTGAGCAATCTGGCTGCCGCTCGCTGGACCAGTTGAAGTTTCCAAACAATCTTCAAGGGCAACCCCACGTAGAGTGTGTTGCAGTAGTCTATTCGGGATGTAGCAAGAGCGTGGACCACTGTGGCCAGATCAGACTTCCCAAGGTACGGGCAGCCTTTGGAAGCTTTTAAACAGAGGCTGGATGGCCATCTGTCAGGGGTGATTTGAATGCAATATTCCTGCTTCTTGGCAGGGGGTTGGACTGGATGGCCCATGAGGTCTCTTCCAACTCTTTGATTCTATGATTCTAACTGTTCCAAGTTCTGATAATATTTGCTCATATGGGTCACCGCAATTCAAGAGAGATATTGACAAGCTGGAATGTGTCCAGAGGAGGACGACTAAAATGATCAAGGGTCTGGAGAACAAGCCCTATGAGGAGCGGCTTAAGGAGCTGGGCATGTTTAGCCTGAAGAAGAGAAGGCTGAGAGGAGATATGATAGCCATGTATAAATATGTGAGAGGAAGTCACAGGGAGGAGGGAGCAAGCTTGTTTTCTGCTTCCCTGGAGACTAGGACGCAAACGAACAATGGCTTCAAACTACAAGAAGGAGATTCCATCTGAACATGAGGAAGAACTTCCTGACTGTGAGAGCCGTTCAGCATGGAACTCTCTGCCCCGGAGTGTGGTGGAGGCTCCTTCTTTGGAAGCTTTTTAAACAGAGGCTGGATGGCCATCTGTCAGGGGTGATTTGAATGCAATATTCCTGCTTCTTGGCAGAATGGGGTTGGACTGGATGGCCCATGAGGTCTCTTCCAACTCTTTGATTCTATGATTCTATGAGCGGCTTAGAGTTTAGGGAAGTGTTGTCAAAGGCTTTCATGGCCGGAATCCCTGGGTTGCTGTGAGTTTTTTGGGCTGTCTGGCGACCGTACCTCGCGAAGGCTGATCTGGCCGGGGTGGTCCATGCCTTGGTCACCTCTAGACTGGATTACTGCAATGCGCGCTACGTGGAGCTGCCCTTGAAAACGGCTCAGAAATTACAATTGGTCCAACGGGCAGCGGCCAGGATGTTAACTGGCACTCCTTACAGAGAGAGGTCAACCCTCCTGTTCAAGGAGCTCCACTGGCTGCCGTTTATCTTCCGAGCCCAATTTAAGGTGCAGGTGCTTACCTACAAAGCCCTGAACGGTTTGGGACCATCCTACCTGTGTGACCGCATCTCCGTCTACGAACCCACGCGTTCACTTCGGTCATCTGGAGAGGCCCTGCTCGTGATCCCGCCTGCGTCGCAAGCGTGTTTGGTGGGGACACGAGACAGGGCCTTTTCTGTGGTGGCCCCCCGACTCTGGAACACCCTCCCCAAAGATCTTAGACAGGCCCCTACATTGGCAGTCTTCAGAAAGAACTTGAAGACCTGGCTGTTGATGTGCCTCTCCAGAATAGGAAATCTCCAATAACAAGTCCCAGAAGCACTTTATTAGAATTAAGACTGCTGCACACTGCACTTACCTTACATATCACCTGTCACATCAGCACTTTTAATTCTGTACCCATTACTCTGGCCCGGCCCAGTTTTATTGTGTCTTGGTGTATTGCTTATTGCTTGTTGTTTAATATTGCTTTAACTGTTTTAATTTGCTTTAGGTTGTGTTTTGTCGAAAGCCTTCGACAATACATTGCTTTAGGTTGTGTATTGTTATGTTGTCAGGCACGTAGGCAGGATTTCGATTCGGGGGGGGTGAGTTTTTTTTCAGGGGGGGTTCGGGGGGGCTGAGTTTCTGGGGGGGGGGGGGCTGAGTCTGAGTGAAAGAGGGTCTACCCTAGCAAACCTTTTGTATCATTACCCCGATACCCCCATGCATATGGGATATATTGAGTATGGTGATCAGATCATGATATGAATAAACATAACAGTTTAAATAATGCACCAGTAAGGCCTTTTCGTGAACCACCATGAGAATTTCGGGGGGGGGGGGCTGAAGCCCCTCAAGCCCCCCCCCCCCCCCCCCGGCTACATGCCTGTATGTTGTGTTTTGAGGCCTTGGCCTTTGTAAGCCGCATCGAGTCCTTCGGGAGATGCTAGCGGGGTACTAATAATAATAATAATAATAATAATAATATGATAGCCATGTTTAAATATGTGAGAGGAAGCCACAGGGAGGAGGGAGCAAGCTTGTTTTCTGCTTCCCTGGAGACTAGGACGCGAAACAATGGCTTCAAACTACAAGAGAGGAGATTCCATCTGAACATGAGGAAGAACTAGGTTCTTGTAGGTTTTTTCGGGCTATAGGGCCATGTTCTAGAGGCATTTCTCCTGACGTTTCGCCTGCATCTATGGCAAGCATCCTCAGAGGTAGTGAGGTCTGTTGGAATTAGGAAAATGGGTTTATAGATCTGTGGAATGGCTGGGGTGGGGCAAAGAGCTCTTCTCTGCTGAAGCTAGGTGTGAATATTTCAACTGACCACCTTCATTAGCATTTGAAGGCCTAGCCTGGGAAAATGTTCTGTTGAGAGGTGTTAAGATGTGCCTGGTTGTTTCCTCTCTGCTGTTTTGCTGTTGTAATTTTAGAGTTTTTTAATACTAGTAGCCAGATTTTGTTCATTTTCATGGTCTCCTCCTTTCTGTTGAAATTGTCCACATGCTTGTGGATTTCAATGGCTTCTCTGTGTAGTCTGACATGGTGGTTGTTGGTGTGGTCCAGCATTTCTGTGTTCTCAAATAATATGCTGTGTCCAGGCTGGTTCATCAGGTGTTCTGCTATGGCTGACTTCTCTGGTTGAAGTAGTCTGCAGTGCCTTTCATGTTCCTTGATTCGTGTTTGGGCAATGCTGCGTTTGGTGGTTCCTATGTAGACTTGTCCACAGCTGCATGGTACACGGTAGAAATTAACAAAATGAAGTTCAACAGTGACAAATGCAAGATACTCCACTTAGGCAGAAAAAATAAAATGCAAAGATACAGAATGGGGGACTGCCTGGCTCGAGAGCAGTATGTGTGAAAAAGATCTTGGAGTCCTCGTGGACAACAAGTTAAACATGAGCCAACAATGTGATGTGGCGGCAAAAAATGCCAATGGGATTTTGGCCTGCATCAATAGGAGCATAGTGTCTAGATCTAGGGAAGTAATGCTACCCCTTTGGTTAGACCACACCTGGAATATTGTGTCCAATTCTGGGCACCACAATTGAAGAGAGATATTGACAAGCTGGAATGTGTCCAGAGGAGGGCGACTAAAATGATCAAGGTCTGGAGAACAAGCCCTATGAGGAGCGGCTTAAAGAGCAGGGCATGTTTAGCCTGAAGAAGAGAAGGCTGAGAGGAGATATGATAGCAAAGATACAAAATAGGGGGACGCCTGGCTCGAGAGCAGTACGTGTGAAAAAGATCTCGGAGTCCTTGTGGACAACAAGTTAAACATGAGCCAACAATGTGATGTGGCGGCAAAAAAAGCCAATGGGATTTTGGCCTGCATTAATAGGAGCATAGTGTCTAGATCTAGGGAAGTCATGCTCCCCCTCTATTCTGCTCTGGTCAGACCACACCTGGAATATTGTGTCCAATTCTGGGCACCACAATTGAAGAGAGACATTGACAAGCTGGAATGTGTCCAGAGGAGGGCGACTAAAATGATCAAGGGTCTGGAGAACAAGCCCTATGAGGAGCGGCTTAAGGAGCTGGGCATGTTTAGCCTGAAGAAGAGAATGCTGAGAGGAGATATGATAGCCATGTATAAATATGTGAGAGGAAGCCACAGGGAGGAGGGAGCAAGCTTGTTTTCTGCTTCCTTGGAGACTAGGACACGGAACAATGGCTTCAAACTACAAGAGAGGAGATTCCATCTGAACATGAGGAAGAACTTCCTGACTGTGAGAGCCGTTCAGCAGTGGAACTCTCTGCCCCGGAGTGTGGTGGAGGCTCCTTCTTTGGAAGCTTTTAAACAGAGGCTGGATGGCCATCTGTCAGGGGTGATTTGAATGCAATATTCCTGCTTCTTGCAGAATGGGGTTGGACTGGATGGCCCATGAGGTCTCTTCCAACTCTTTGATTCTATGATTCTAATTGTGAACCTAAACCTAACTGATGTGGGCACGAGTGGTGGGGACGAGGGAGAGGGCTTCTTTGTGGTGGCCCCTCGACTCTGGAATTCACTCCCTAAGGACATCAGATCAAGGGTCTGGAGAACAAGCCCTATGAGGAGCGGCTTAAGGAGCTGGGCATGTTTATGAGAAGGCTGAGAGGAGATATGATAGCCATGTATAAATATGTGAGAGCAAGCCACAGGGAGGAGGGAGCAAGCTTGTTTTCCCTGGAGACTAGGACGCAATGGAGCCATGGCTTCAAACTACAAAGGAGGAGATTCCATCTGAACATGAGGAAGAACTTCCTGACTGTGAGAGCCGTTCAGCAGTGGAACTCTCTGCCCCGGAGTGTGGTGGAGGCTCCTTCTTTGGAAGCTTTTAAACAGAGGCTGGATGGCCATCTGTCAGGGGTGATTTGAATGCAATATTCCTTCTTCTTGGCAGAATGGGGTTGGACTGGATGGCCCATGAGGTCTCTTCCAACTCTTTGATTCTATGATTCTATGAGCGGCTTAGAGTTTAGGGAAGTGTTGTCAAAGGCTTTCATGGCCAGAATCCCTGGGTTGCTGTGTTTTCTGGGCTGTCTGGCCATGTTCCAGATGCAACCCAGTTTAGAGAAGTATTTTCCCCTGGCAGGTGTGGCCCCGCCCCTTCTCTCCCATTGGGTGCTCGGTGAAGGGGCTCTGCCTTCTGCCCTGGAAGCCCCGCCCACCTGTAAGAGCTGACCGGCTTAGAGATCCCTGCTGGTCTCCGTCTGGGCTTTGTTCTGCGATGGACCCGCTGCAGCGTCGCTTCCAGGCCTTTCTGGACCAGCCAGGCTGGCTGGGCGACCTCCTGGGCGGGCTGGAGGCCAGGACCGGCGTTCAGCGCTATTACCTGGCCACAGGTGAGCCCCTAGCTGCCCTTGGGAAGTTTGCGCATGTGCACAAGCGCCCTTGGCCCACCTTTGGCTGCTCTCCTCAGCCTGAGGAGTGGGCAGGCAAAGAGAAGCGCCTGGTTATGTTAGTATTATTATTATTGGTATATATTATGTTATTTGTACTATGATATATTATGACATATATTATAATCATACAAATAAAAATAACAATACAATAATATAAGATATAATAAAGTAATATGTCATAATATATCATAATAAAATAATACAATTACTAGAATCTATAATATATTATAATAATACAAATAAAATAATACAATAATATGAGATATAATAAAATGTCATAATATATCATAATAAAATGTATAATAATATATAATAATAAAATAATACAATTACTAGAATCTATAATATATTATAATAATACAAATAAAATAACAATACAATAATATAAGATATAATGAAATAATATGTCATAATATAGCATAATAAAATGTATAATAATGTATAATAATATATCATAATAAAATAATACAATTACTATAATCTATAATATATTATAATAATACAAATAAAATAACAATACAATAATATAAGATATAATGAAATAATATGTCATAATATATCATAATAAAAGGTATAATAATAATGTATAATAATATGATATAATAATAAATTTAATATAATATAATATAATAATACAAATAAAATAACAATACAATAATATAAGATATAATAAAATAATATTATAGATTATAGTAATTGTATTGTTATGTTATTTTATTATTATATATTATTATACATTATTATTATACATTTTATTATGATATATTATGACATTATTTTATTATATCTTATATTATTGTATTGTTATTTTATTTGTATTATTATAATATATTATAGATTATAGTAATTGTATTATTTTATTATTATATTATTATATTATTATAGATTATTATAGATTATAGATTATAGTAATTGTATTGTTACGTTATTTTATTATTATATGTTATTATACATTATTATTATACATTTTATTATGATATATTATGACATATTATTTTATTATATCTTATATTATTGTATTGTTATTTTATTTGTATTATTATAATATATGTCATAATATATCATAATACAAATAACATAATATATACCAATAATAATACAATAATAATAATAATAATAATAATAATACTAACATAACCAGGCGCTTCTCTTTGCATGCCCACTCCTCAGGCTGAGGAGAATCTATAATATATTATAATAATACAAATAAAATAACAATACAATAATATAAGATATAATAAAATAATAATATAGATTATAGTAATTGTATTGCTACGTTATTTTATTATTATATATTATTATACATTATTATTATACATTTTATTATGCTATATTATTAGATTATATTATTATCGTATTGTTATTTTTGTATTATAATATATTACATATTTTTGTATTTTACATTGTATTAAATAATATTGAAGATTTGTATTATTATGTTATTTTATTGTATTATTGTTTTATTTTGTTATTTTCCTTTATTATTATATTTGTTTTTTATATTATTATATATTGTTGTTATTATTACTTGGGGTCCATTGCTCTTTCTATATCACCCCTCCCCATTCTTTTTGCACTGTAATTCCCATCAACCTCCATCCTGCCTGATGGTCTTTCCAGTCCAACGGAAAGAGCAGCCTTTCCCAGCAGGAGGAAATTATTATTGTTGTTGTTGTTATTCTAATATCTAATGTTATTTTAATGGGTTTAAAAAAATAATTATTCAATGTATTTCCTGTGCATATCTTCCAATATTGCCGCGCACTGCACACTGCACTTACCCTATAATCCTTACATATCACCTGTCACATCAGCACTTTTAATTCTGTACCCTTTACTCTGACCCGGCCCAGTTTTATTGTGTTTTGGTGTATTGTTTATTGCTTGTTGTTTTGTTGTTTTAATATTGCTTTAATTGTTTTTAATTTGCTTTAGGTTTGTATTGTTATGTTGTGCATTGAGGCCTTGGCCTTTGTAAGCCGCATCGAGTCCTTCGGGAGATGCTAGCGGGGTACAAATAAAGTTAATAATAATAATAATATTAATATTTTAATATGCTGTCGCTAAAAATGGGGTTCATCCATGAAATGTAAAAATTATGTAGCATAACATGCAATAAGTGAGTTTCTTTGTGGGGTATTATTATTATTATTGTATTATATTTTATATTATATATATAATATTTTATATTATATAATTACATATAATATATTAAATATTATGTTATTATATAGTAGATATCATATAATCATTAATATAGCATATTCATATTATAATATTCTTATTGGTATATATTATATTATTTTGTATTATAATGTATTATGATTTATTGTTATTAATTTAAATGTATTAAATATTATAATATGATTTTTGTTATTATATTTTTATTAATGGCATATATTATATTATTTCTTGTATTACAATATGATGTATTTGTTATTTCATTATTATTATTTTATTTGTATTATATTATGATATATTATATAATATTATTATACATATATATATTTAATGATACAATACGTTATATTATTATATTTTAATATTATATTCTAGTATTTTATTATTATTATTGCAATAATAGTAGTAGTAATAATAATCAATTGGTGTTTCACCACAAAATTAATTTTCTTCCAACCAATAAGTAGAACACATTTAGTAAACAAACCCATCCTCTTCCTCACTTTGGGAGAACTTTCTTTCCTTGGGAACAAACTTTATTTTAAAGAGTGGGTTTTTTTTTTCAGATTTAGGAACAATTTAGGAAGAATTTAATGCATTTCCTTAGAAATTCATTAAATTTGAGCAGTTAGCCCCAGAAGGGATTTCAAACTGGAATATCGGGTTTGCTCAGTGTGTGGCAATGCACAAAACACAAAGATGTGAGATTTCTCCAGAATATCGGTGTTTTATTTCAACGTTTCCTTGCATTGAAAGGCTGGTGTTGACCTGCACTTTGCCTTTAAAATGTTTAATAATTGTCCAACCACAATAAATCGTTCCTCCCGGGTTCAGAGATCACCTCATTAATGCTTTGCAGATCATGATGATTTGCATATTAGCTTGGGTCCCTGGCATTGCCCTGATTATTTGAAAAAGTCATTTTTTTACTTGTACAAAATGCCTAAGGTTGTGAGTGAACTACAACTCACATCATGCCAGTTCAGCCTGAGAAACTCCATCAGGATTTAAGGTTTATTACGCTGGGCAAGTTTGCTCTAAGATGCACCATTGGAGGGGTTCAGTGTGCTCTCTGGCTGCAGAGTAAACTACAACTCCCATCATGGTGAGTCAGCCCCCCCCCCACCCCTCCAGTGAGGGGTGAGTGAGTTATGGGGGGTTCTGTGTGCCAAGTTTGGTCCAGGTCCATCATCGATAGAGGTCACAGTTTCTCTGGTTGGAGGTGAACTACAACTCCCAGAAAGGAAAGTCAGTTCCTCCCAAATCCCCCCAGCAATCAAATTTTGGCATATTAGGTCTGTGTGCCTAGTTTGGCCTGGATCCATCAGTGTTTGGGTTCACATTGTTCTCTGGGTGAACTACAACTCCCCCAAATCAAGGTGAATTCCCCCCAAAGACCTCCAATATCTTTTCTTGGTCATGGGGGCTCTGTGTGCCAAGTTTGGTCCAATTCCATCTTTGGTGGAGTTCAGAGTGCTCATTGAAAGCAGGTGGACTATACATCCCAGTACCTACAACTCCAAAATGTCCAGACCAATTCCCCTCCAAACCAATGATGAATTCTCTCTAGTATGTTCAGTTGCTATTAATTCCTCTGTTTGCTGTGTGCCATAGAAAAGAGTAGAAAAGAGGGAGAGGCAATGGGCGGGATCATGCAAATTCCACACCAATGGAGAGAGTCAGAAACACTGAGATGTCTGTTGTGGACGAAACACATGAAATCTAGGGTGAAATTGTCTTCATCTTAAAGCCTTTCCTTGGGTGGGCCATTACACCAATGAGTCGTGGGAACTGCAGCAGTTTGTGGAGGCAGGAGCTTGCCTTTTCGCTTTTATTATGCGCAGAGATAGATTGTTTTCCAAGCCAAAGAACCATAGGATTTTTCAAGCTAGAAAGAGTCTTGGGATTGTTTCAGCTGGCAAATAAAAGCGAGATGATGATGATGATGATTTATTTTTATTTTATTTATCGTGGCAGTGCAACCAGTCGATTATATTACATTTCTAACAGAACAAAGCAAAAAAAAAAAAAAAAAACAGACAAAATACGAAAATTGTGAGTTTGGTAGTTGATTAAATGTCCTTTGACCAGTATCCGGCCACTGGAACGGGCTGCCTCAGGGGAGCGTGCTTGCTCCATCCATGTTCAACATCTACACAAATGACCAGCCACTGCCAGAAGGGACAGAGAGTTTCATCTATGCTGATGATCGTCCCATTACCGCTCAAGCAGGGAGCTTTGAGATGGTTGAACAGAAGCTCTCCGAAGCTCTAGGTGCTCTTACTGCCTATTACAGGGAAAACCAACTGATCCCTACTCCATCTAAAACACAGACATGTGCCTTTCACCTCTGGAGCTGATGAACAACGGCACTGCATCCTGGGAAGGAATCCCACTGGAGCATTGCAGCGCACCCAAATACCTGGGAGTCACTCTGGACCGTGCTCTGACCTACAAGAAGCACTGCCTGAACATCAAGCAAAAAGTGGGTGCTAGAAACATATCATACGAAAGCTGACTGGCACAACCTGGAGATCACAACCAGATACAGTGAAGACATCTGCCCTTATGCTGTGCTACTCTGCTGCTGAGTATGCATGCCCAGTGTGGAACACATCTCACCACACTAAAACAGTGGATGTGGCTCTTAATGAGACATGCCGCATTATCACGGGGTGTCTGCGCCCTACACCACTGGAGAAATTACACTGTTTAGTCGGTATCGCACCACCTGCCATCCGCCGGGAAGTAGCAGCCAA